TTTTCACCTGCTAAGCCACTTATGCAGTTTAAACGATTTACTTTAGTTTAAATCAGTATAATTGCAACACCAATTCAAAGGTACGTCCTTGTTTTCGTGAAGTAAATTAGAACCAGAATCTGTTCAAGTTTCATATATTATTTCGTGTTTTCGTCTGTCCTTAATGCGCTCCAAAATTAAATAAAGCCTCACAATAAAGCCAGCCTTTATTTGTCCGGCAACCCTTAGCGTAATACCGAAGTTTGGCGATATATAAAGCAAATGTTGCGGTTTATAAAGAATTTTGGATATGTATCAAGAAGGAAACACTAATGAGAAAACCCATGGAAAAGGGACAAAGACATGATGGTAGGGGACATGTTAGGTAGAAAACGAAACGAGTGGCATTTTATCGATTGTTTCTCGTAACGGTGATTTCCGAAGTAATGCCAGGCAGTAAAACGAATCAATGATCTGTATTTTCATTTCGTCTTCTTGTTTTTTTGTTTATTTTTAATATTTTGTCTTTTTGTCTCTGGTGTGTTATTTTATCTTTTCCTGTTATATTTTTTGTCTCATATTATTTCGCCTTTTTGTTTTTCATTCTCAAATGTCTAGGGGTTACTCTCACTGACGTTCTCTACTCGCATAAGTGAATATAACCCCTGGAATTTCGAGGATGGGTTGATGTATATTCGTCTCTTTGTGTGTACGATTTGTCCATTTTCCCGCTCTGATAAGCAAAAAAAATAGACAACAGTTAAAAAATATTTTGTTTGACGTGTCATACGAAAACGAGAAAGTAAAAAATAAAAAAGCAAATGACTGATTTAAGAAATTGTACAACTCAGAAAGTAAGTTTGAGCTGTCAATAATTCTTTTTGGCATTGACTTTCAGAGATACAAAACCGACATAATGAAGACCTTCCTGATTTTAACAATTCTCCTCGCCACCCTACTGCGTAAGTAAAATTATTCTTACCTGTTAGAACGTTTGTGTAAATGTTTAATCTAGACATCATCAAATGGTTTCCGACGACTTTCGGAAATACTTGAATATCATTTTTTTATATATTTAAACTTTCTTTTTAAAAAAAGATGCAGCTTACAAATGATGTGAAGGGCATCAAACAAAAGTAGAACATATTACAAACAAAAGATATTCAACATTTAAATTATTCAAATCCATCAATCTCATTAAAATGCTTCAATAATGTCCAAACGGACAACGACTTTTGTTCGACATACATTTATATAATAGCTGAAACTTATCGTATATAATGAACCATTGTAAAAGGCGTTCTCTCTGTAGTTTTTCTATCTGTCACCTGAACAGCGAAAGTGTGTGATTCGCTCTCCTCCCGATCTAGTGTAGTGTTCCCCTGTAGACAGATATCAAAATATTTTCTTTTACAACAATTATGCGAGAAGTTATTACAACTTCCATTAATCCCTCTTGTTGGCCCGGATGTTAGCGCGCGGGAGGTCTTAATGTGGAAGGAAACCGAAGTACCTGGAGAAAACCCACGTGCTCGGGCAGGTGACCCGATATCTTTTCACGTCCGATCGGGGAAAAAACATATACAATGTATTTTGCTCTTTTTTATATATAAAAGGCGTTCTGACAAATGAATTAAGATAACAAATTTGTTAGCATGTGTATCTAGCTAGAGTTAGGTAGTTTTCAAATGTAAAAAGATAGCAGGTTAAACGAATGATCTTATAACATTCGCACTCAGGTAAAACCTAGAACCTCATTTTAAGGCCATGTATCCTGACTGAATATGTCGCGGATTAGGTAAAATGCGGATCTCTAGATTAAATACATAGACTTTCACTGTACACCTCTCGGCTGAGGTAAAACCTGGAATCCCTTATTATATAGTATATATATGAAATGCACAAAACATATCCTTATTAGAATAATTAGATGTCTAAGCAAGGTTTATAAAAAATTAATATTAGTGTAAAATCTAACCCAATAAAGTAAGAAATCAACCTTTCACAAGCTACGATAAAGACTGTATGCATTTGTCTTAGCTTCAACAGCGCCGTCTGGTGGACATAACTTACAGATTAATGAAAAAAACCTTCCTCGATTTAGTACATTTTGATTTTAGCACGTTATCGAACTTTAGCAGATATGCGCATTGCTTATTTTTGGCGCACCTACAATAAATGAAAACATCTATACACAGAAAGTTAGATAAGCACAATATTAATGAAACGTGAAAATTTAAACGCACAAAAGGCAGTTTTAGGTGTGTCATCATTTCATGTGTTCATCGATTCATGCGGACTTTCCAAATATGAAAACAAATAATTCTTAAGTTTCTCACATTTTATCACGAATCTTAAATGGAAACGTGATGTATTTTCCACATTGAGGTTGAGAGTGTACCTTGAGTAAATACGTTCCGGAATTCCACCGAAGAATCGATCTCCAGATGATATCACATATATCATTGAGTTTAATCAACCACTTAACATCTTAACCGCCGAAAGTCAATATCATTGATTGTAATTGACAAGAACCAATAGACTACAGAACAGACGGCATTAATTGAAACAATCAAACAAATTTTAGGCCATTATCGAGCTTTCAAATGTAAATAAGTCTTAATGGTGATCTTATCCAACTGTGTACCCAGGCTAATGGATAGCAGTTCCATGTGGGTCTAGTCCTTCACTCAAAAAAGATCAATATATTCAAATCTAGGTTCTTCCTTACTTTTACAAAATACAATCACGTTATATATTTGCCGATTAAAACTAAAGATGCGTATCACACTCAGAACAGTTACATCGTTACTGAAAATGGTAAAATAACAGCCTGTTAATAAAGCTTCTCTTTAGAACTTTTCTGTTCAAATGTCGTACATTTTCGTTGATTATATCCTGGCTGAAAATGTTGTATAAAAGACATTTTGTCATCCTTCGGTGTCAAAATGTTGTCCTCGTAAAAACTGTCTCTAAAACTATCGAACCCAAAAACTTTATTCAATCAATATGTATGTCTTAAACTTAGTTGCCAAACGTATAGGTTTAAACTTCAAGCCAATACATTGTGTAAGTTTAAATGGCTAGAATATATAAAATTGTGTTTTGATGAAGTCGGACAAAGTTCTGTTTTTTTATAAAACAGGAACCTATTAGTAAATATTATATTAAAAATGCTGTCAAACTAATTTTTATCGATCATTTTTTACAAAGATGTCATGCAAACATTCAAAATTCATCACGAGGTGAACTCTGGTAACTTTAAGAATAAACATGTACTTGAGCCTTATTTAACTCACCTTTCGAAAAAACCAGATCAGTATTATGCAAATTTAGATGTTCTAATATGAAATTTCCCATTGAAACGGGTAGGTGGCATAATATTCAAAAACAAGAACGAAAATGCACTCTATGTAAAAATGAACTAGGCGACGGATAACATTATTTATTCAAATGTACACATTTAATGATTGTAGAGCTTAGAGAAAAATATATTCCTCTGCATTATAGAAAAAAATCTGTCTCAAATTAAAATGAGTGATCTTTTGTCATTTTGTAACACGACAGCATTAAATGGAATTTGTCTTTTGTTAGAAAAAAATAACAAACTGTTGTAATATGTATCATGATTACTGTTTTGTGAACTTGCCATCCATTTTGTCATCACATGTGTATTATTATATTCTGATACCTCATGTTGTACATTTTAATGTATCTGAGGAAAAACAATAAACTTAAACTTGATACGAATATCACTTTAATAACCAATCAAAACCAACAGCTGAATTCATAAAATATAATTAGTGTCTTTAAATATAAATGCAATTAATAATAGAAACAAATCACTTGATACATTAACAAAAACTACTGTCTGTATATAAATATCGGTTAACACGTTAATGAAACTTATTCCTGCATACATTACTTATAATCACTTCACACTTTCAATCTAAACGTCACCTATTTCCTTTCTCTGAGTGAGAAATTAAGTTGGTGTGGAGACTATTTAATTTACTGCAAAGCATTTCAAATTGACATCATTTGATCCGCCAATGCAAGATTCAGTTCAAGTATTTAAAATTGAATTTGTGTGAAAATGCCTACAACTTGTATAAGTTTAACAAGGAGCACTGGAAACACTGGGGCTTGTGCAAGTTTTTTTATTTTATTGACAACATATTGACAAAGGGATAAGTCGGAAAAACTTACCGACTAATCCCTTTGTCAATATGTTGTCAATAGAATATGTTTAAACTAATACGTTAATGAAACTTACTACTGCATACATTACGTATAATCGCTGTCTTCATACAAATCAGCTTATAAAGCTACAGAAACCGATAACTTCTTTCATAAAATATAACTTGTCTTGATACAGATATAATGTAATAATCTATACAACATACAACTCTATACATACAAAATAACTGCTGTCTCATAGAAATTGACAGTACAAATGAAACAAGCCTTAGAAAATAATAGTATATAACATTTGATATAGTGCCTTATTTAGCTAACATAAGCCACTCTAAAGCTCTTCACGGTATATGGATATACAATTAATGCAATAAAAATATATACAGTGTACATAAATTAATACAATTTTTGGAGAAATTTGCAGAAGCTGCCTTACCAGGCGTTAACTACTAGTCCTATGCCACCTGGCTAATATTTCCGTGTGTGTACGCCTACGTGTGTGCTGGACATGTATTGCAAACAGAGATCATATCTGATATCTTATACAAATAGAGGACGATAAGTCATAGAAACCATTAACTACAATGCACATACATTAAATTTAACTGGTTGTTCTATACCAATTTAGTACATAATGATAGTCATTCATTGATTTAAAATGTTGTTTATTTACAAAAGTAAGCAGAATAACAAATTGAAGCCAAGCGATCACTTCACACTTTCAATCTAAACGTCACCTGTTTCAATTCTCTTAGCGAGAAATTAAGTTGGTGTGGAGACTATTAAAGTTACTGCAAAGCATTTCAAATTGACATCATTTGATCCGCCAATGCAAGATTCAGTTCAAGTATTTAAAATTGAATTTGTGTGAAAATGCCTACAACTTGTAAAAGTTTAACAAGGAGCACTGGAAACACTGGGGCTTGTGCAAGTCTACGTGTCAAATCTCCGTCGACATGACCTAGTCGAAATAAATCGTTACGAAAACAACATTTGTATTGCACGTAATCACAGTACAAAACAAGTACTTTTCAATTTGTTCTATATTGCTAATAGAACGAAATACACCACAAACGTTCTGCTGTTACGGTGGATCAATACTGAGTTAACAGTGTACAATCAGTGACAGACTTGTTATTACAGGCAATGCCAATTTTGTCAACTTCGTTGGCAAATGAAACACAACAGATAATTCCTTTGTGTTAAGATTGAGCAGAAATCAAAACACACCCAAAATATTGATTTGTCGCATAGAAATCAAACAACCAATGCACCACAACACTGTCGCTATACACTTAAAATTGATTGGTATCTCAACTGAAACGTTTTTTCTCTATAGCTAAAAACTTAATGACATGACGTCATTAAACGTACTATGCATAATAAGTACACAGGAACCAAAGGGTCATTATAACAATAACTAGGAAGGAAATGGCGAAAAGGGAATTATCAATGACTTTCATCACGTCCTGGTTTTTAATGCATAAGCACTCTAGGTCAACATCAACAATCTCTTCGACCTCCGATCCTCCTTGCTCTTTCAGCTCCATCACCTTGTCCGACTTAGGGTTGCTGGTTACTTTAGTGTCCCTGAATTTACAACAGAAGCGCGTAAGTCGCCTCAACCATTTTGGAAACTGACTGACGTCATCAACGGCTTCACATCTAAGAGTAAATATAGTCAGCACGATCAACGTGCTGCTGTAGATTAATGTTAATAGTAGAAAGTACGACATCCCAGCCATGTTTTCTGACACTTTGGGAAGGTTGTCTCCTACAAGCGTCATGTAAACCGCCAGAGACAGGAACATGGTGATTGTGAAGGACATTCTCTCACCTGAGGTGGCCGGCAGGAGGAACACGAACGGATTGAGGAAACACAACAACAGGATCGGGATAGTCATTGAAACTATAAAATAGATATATCGGCGAGACATATGAATAGTAAAATCAAGCGTTTCAGAGGGAGATCCATACCCCATAAAAAAGGATACGGAGGTTTTATCAATGTTCCATTCACCATTGGGTATATAGTACATCATATTCATTTCCGTATCGTCGAAGGTGAGTTTGGTATGGGGTGATGCTGCCCATTGAATTACCCGAATGCTGCATAGCTGGGTGTCAACTGGAAATTTAGTCATATCCACTGTACACGTAGACCGCAGTAACTTCCCTGGACTGAAGTTTAAGAGACCAGTATACGAAATAAATATTTCAAAATCATCACTACCAAACTGGCGCAGGTCATCAGCCGCAGTGACAACGTACACTTTCGGTTTCCAGACTTTCGAGGAATTCAGGTTTATGTAGTCAATTCCTCCATAGTCGCTTGGCGTCCATTTTAAACGGTAGTCGTTCCAGCTCAGCGTCATTCCAGCACTTAATGTGATGACGCCGGACACTTCGTCAAAGTCGAGCATGGACAGTGGAAACATGGATGTGTCTATATTCAATGTATCGCTAAAGTTGTACAAAGGGAATATCTCCTTAGTGTAGTTAGAAAACAGCGTGTTAGTCAACCTAATCCAGTCGTCCATCGTCCCGTTGCGTCCCTGTACCGTATGTCTGGTACTGTACAACATAATTAGAAGGATGGTCACTCGTACGGTAGCCATGGTGATACGGTAGGTGGCGCCCTACAACAAAAATTACTACATAAGAGAACAACAAAAAAGACCGCTTTCGAAGTCAAGCATGGCGTGGATGGAGGGATTACCTGCAAATGAGGCAGATATTACAAAGGGTTTTCATTAATATACACATATAAATTTAAACAACTATGTGTACCTCCGCGCAATACGATTGTTATGAGAAACGGCAGATCACGACGTGTGCGGTGATTGGGTTTATAGCATATCTATCATTGTTCTTTGAAATCGAGCTAAGATAAATATGTGGTTATATGGACCCCAGAAAGTGGTAATGACANTTTTTTTTGTTATGATTTGTCTATTATATCAGTGCAACAACTGATCAGTTCCAGCTAGGATGAAATTTATTTTGAAGAAAAATGGATCGACGATAAATGCCGATTTCTGTAATACTTATTAAATTCATTCATACCTCATAAAGAAATTCTATTTCTGGAGAGATTTCTGAAACGAGATTTTTTATTTTCGCGATACTTTGGCGAGCAACAAATTTTACATGGAATTTAATTAAATGCTAGGTGTTGTTTATCACAAAAGATCAACTGTTGCAAATATTTCTAAAGACAGTTTATTTTGGCTAACGCGAAAATCAAAATATCGACTTTTGATTCCGACGTTGCTTCGTCTGTGACATCTCGTTACAATTAGAGATTTCTTACGTCATGAAGTTGGGATGTCACGATTGAAGCAATGGCAAAATAGAGCTAATCACATTTCTGTGTTAGGTTAAAACATATTTTATGTAATGAGTGCTCTGACATTGACAATAGAATAGTTATGTGATAGACATATTTATTTTACGCTTAAATGTTCTTAATCAGCAACACACTATGCACATATGTTATGCAAAGGTTTATATCCATATTTAATTGAAAAATAAACACATTTTTTTCTTACTTTACATATATCTTCATTTCGTAATATTTAATTTCAATTGATGCTGTCGAAATACAACAACATTAGTAAACGATTTTCTTTAATTTGCAAAACGCTTCCAAAGATATAAAACCTATATTTATATAAGAGAAAGTTATTAGATTTGATTTAAAGAAGAAAAGTGATCTCCGAAATAGAATTCCAGTTTTAATTCATATAACATGATTAAAGCATTAACTTCTGCCAAAATACAATACCATAACTAAAAAAACATTAGATCATTTAGGCTACTAAAGACCGTTATTTTATATCAGAAAAAAATCCATTCTGTATTAAAAGATTTTACTGAAAAGAAAACAATTGAATCCGATGGAGAAAATGTAACAGAAGGTACCTGTCACGCAAATGCTATATATATTAAAAACAACAATAAAAACCAACTTGAAACACATTATTTTAGCGAACAAAAATAATAAATATTAAATGTCACTTCTTCTTAAAAACAATAAATATTAAATGTCACTTCTTCCTAAAAACAATAAATATTAAATGTCAATTCTTCTTAAAAACAATATATATTAAATGTCACTTCTTCTTAAAAACAATTAACAAAATACTTACTTGTAAAGACAGAAAGAAATAATTTTAAAAATAAATTTCAGCTGTCTTTTAACATATTTGTATAGATGTATTTCCCCTTTTCAAATCAGGTACACTTGTATCACATGCCCATTAATAGTGGATTTGTATTTTTTACAGCAAAATAAGAATAAAATGCACAATGTATCACTTCTCTCAAACCTTAGCTACATATCGGCTGGCACTGTTGATAATGCTGAAACATGAGAGAATAGATTAGCTGGAGATGCAATTCTATGACTTTGAAAGACGTTCCGAGCTCTGTCGCAAGCGCTGCTGTCAATATAAAATGTAGTACCTCCGTGGTATCGGAAACAGTGATGTATAAAAGTTGAACCAATGCAGACCTTTTTATAAACATCGAATAATTTGGACCAATCAAAATGATTATAATATCATATTTCTCAATCGGAGTCAATCGGAAATGCCTGAATACACCATACGATGATCTAGGTTACAAACAGTATGGATGTAGAAACCCTAATGTAGGTTTAGTTTGTTTGTATCTTTTACTAACACTTAGTAAGTGACTTAGTAACTTTACTAACACGTAGTACTCTTTCAGCTATTAAATGTAATGATGGGAATACAAACACGGTCAGCCTGTTTACACATACATGAAAGTGAGAGGCTTATTGATAGTGTGTGGTTCACACAGAACACAATGCTACCATTAGTCCAACATCACCTTTTATTAAACGACTTTAACGGGAAAAAACCGTGAAAGTTCAAACATATGTTATTGACTTACGTAAACATTATATTCTGTTATAATAAGAACGATACGTTTGATACACAGTGGAACATCCCTTTAAC